AAAAATAAACAAAAACAAAAAAACAAACAAAAAAAGCCAGCACAGTTCTGGAAAAACATACTTTTGAGATGAAACCAAGATCAACGTCTATCAGAATGATGGCAAAATTATGGAACAGCTCATGATCCAATGCATACCACATCATCTGTAAAACACAGCGGGGCGGTGTGATGGCTTGGCCATGCATGGCTGCCAGTGTCACTGGGGCACTAGTGTTTGTTTGTTTGTTTGTTTGTTTGTTTGTCTGTCTGTGTTCAGAGACAAATTGAGCTCAAATTGAGCTAAATGCAGTCAGAGTGATTGGGCAGCATCATAATACAGATGGACAACGACCCAAAACATACAGCCAAAGCAACACAGTTTATTAAAGCAAAGAAGTGGAATATTCTTGAGCTGCCAAATCAGTCACCTTTTTGTTCAACCCACTGAATTAAAGCTGAAGGTCTGCACTTCAACTGCATCTGAATTGTTTCATTTAAAATTCATTGTGGTAATGTACAGAAGCAAAATTAGAAAAAAGTTGTCTCTGTCCAAATATTAATGGACATAACTGTATGTTTGGGCTGTGAGAGGAAGCCTGGAAACCCACTAAGTCACAGGAACAGGAACAGGAACTTAACGAAGGCTAGAAACGTCTTATTGAGAAACAACAGTACTCACCACTGTGCCACCAGAATAACCAGAACTTCATCAAAATGCCAGAGAACCAGTCTACAAAGAGCTGTTTCATTAAATGATAACAACTTGAAATCTCATTATTAAAATCCTATGAATCTCTTAATAACTGTAGACAACTCTAATGGGACACTGTATCGTAAGCATCTTTAAATTTATGTTTTTAAAAAGAAAATCACATAACATATAATAAAACATAACCTTTATTTAACATCCCTACAGGCATTGCATCTCCCAGGATTTACTGTTTCATTGAGCAGTACATATGTACCTTATATATACTTACTATAACAAACAGAAAAAACATGGTAAATATAGCTTTACATACATGTCACCAACTGAAATAACATACAAACGGGGATGGGCTGGATCTTCCATGCATGCTGGAGGGAGTGGGAGAGTCAGGGTGTCTGATTTGAAATAGATAGGGAGATGTTGGTATGGTGTTCTGCCCATTTCTTCATTATGTACACACTGCCGCACAGCCAGCTTGCACCTCCTCAAACACTCTGGAAGAAATAAGAGAGGGATTTATAAGATTTGCACACATGCAGTCATATTTCCATCACCACACAGGATATAAAACACACACAAACTCTTACCTTAAAACATAAGACCTGGACTTCTGCTGGTCCTCTAAAGCCAAAGAAAGGAAAGATAATTAAAGTAAGAAGACATTAAATGGAATCATGAGATATTGGTAATCACTTTAATCAGAAATATTCTGATAGAAAGCTCGACCGTTCGTTTAAGGTCTCGCTGTCTTGTAGGTCTGGGTGTGTCCTTATGTGTGAGATTGCTTAACTGCGTATTTTCCATCAGGGATTATCTGCCTCAGTTTCTGCTCTCTTAGCCCATTCTCCCCTCTTCTCACAGCACTCGGCCTGTTGACTCATGGTAATGTGAAGAGTTTGGCTGCGTGTCAGATCATCTGGAGTCATTTATAGAAGCTGTCGAGTGCTGCGCTGACATCACCCCTATCTCTCGCCCAATGGCCAATCCTGCCTAATCCTTCTTTCTCCCCATGCGGGGACATCCCATGTATGGCTGAGCTGTATGGGATCACATACTGACACCTTGTAGAGACTTATAAGCAGGATCACGTCATTTATAGGGCACAGTTTACACGCTTTTTCAGTAATCTGATCACAAGAGGACAGCTGTACATAAATACAGGTGTGAACCCATCCAAACACACTGAAGTTGCATTCGGAGTAGAAAGCTATGTGACCCCATTTACATAACAGCATGATGTGAAGACACTTGTGTCCCCGACCACACTCAAGGTCAAGTTTGAAGTGTGTGTGTATCATGGCAACTATTTTATTCCCTCAAGTCAAACAACTAAAGGACACTGAAACTTTACTCCTCTAACTGTTCAAAGTGCAAAAATAATGCACAATGGTTTTTCTCCTATATTGCATATTACAACATTTAATTGGAGCTGAACAGCAACATTCAATCACAAGTGGTTCTTTTTAAATAGAATCAGTTAGAGTTTCGTCAGGATCCCTACAAAGCACATAGCAGAAAGAGCAACACCATCACAGCAGGTATCAAGAGATTTGACACTGATTAAGTCAGATACAGAATAAAAAGAATGTAAAGTGGGTTGCAAAGCTGCTTGCAGGTGAGCATGAAACTTTAGGCAGGCTAAAGCAACATAAATATGTTCTGTTTGAAATTTAACAACAGGCTGTGCACAAAAATAACAGCAGAGTGAGCCATCAACTGACGTGAATCTTAATAGTTAAAATGAAATTTTGAGCACTCCCTGTGAAAGTCTACACCACTCGAGTAATTAAAACACCAAAACACAAATGTGGCAGTCTAAGAGAGAGGATATAAATAGCATAAAAAAAGCAGTGAAAACATCAGATTTGGTATTTCTCTTTAGCCATCATTAATCCTCGCCACATTACCACATCTAAAAGCAGGGCTGCAATGTACAAAATGCACAGAGGATAAAGGCTGAGAGGAGACATGAGATGAGGAGGGAAGAGGAGAGCGAGAGCGGCAT